ATTATAAAACAGTAAACAAGTTACATTTACTTTTATTGCAAGAAAACTGAATAGTATGAAAGGAAGTAAATAATATTTTTATTTCTATATAAAACCCAGACTAAGGAGAAGCAAGAAAAGATTTTAATTTAAATCTAAACAGTTTTTAATTTTTAAAATTACTTATAAAAACAAATTCTTTGAGTTGATGAAACTCAACAAAAATAATTATGCATTAAATACACTAACAAAAAGTCGAAAATATAATAAAATGAATAAATAGGTAAAGAAAAACTTTTTACTAAATCTATAAAAATACAGATACATGAATTAAAAGTTTTAAAAATGGGTTTCACAGCAGAAATATTTCATCTTATTTGCTTGCATCAATATTTCAAATCCTTTCTATCAAAATATTCTAAATTCTTCATCAAAGAAATTTATTTAATAGTGATTGGCAAAAATATTATAAATCTCAATGGCATTAATATTGCTTTATCAAACGTTTCTTTTCTCTTTTAATTTTATTTTTCAAAAATACATCGCTTACGTTCAATTTTTTTCATGTCTTTATCAAACATTTAATTTCGAACACTAACTTTTGAACTGAACTTAAAATACGGGTAGGGCAAAAAAGTATTTAAAATTACATTAAAAAACACTAAATTTTTAAAGTATAGATTTGCAAACTGAAAACTGATCAAATACAAACATGTATAATTTTAGTGCACATGTTATCATTTAACAATTAACAAATCATTTAGCAAATTCTGTCATTATAAAACTATAAAAATCCTATTCCACATGCTTTTTACAGTTAGTAAAATTTTAAAATTTTGAGATGCAAGCTTAAATTTAATTTCTATATTCATTTTTTTCACACAATGTTGGGAATCGGGCTAGCGTTTTGTTTCTAGTAAACAAATTTACACTTTTTATTTCTCTTCCTTTATTTTTAGATTTATTTTCATGATATACTTCTAAATATGTATTTCTTTGTAATAACATGAAAATAAAATGGTTCACTGTGTAGAAAACAAGTCTACAATTTTTTTTATCTTCTTTAAATCTGTTAGATGTTTTTTTTTATAACTTTTTATCATTCAATCATTTATAGCTTTAAAATAAACATTAAAATTAGTAATTCACAAAAAAAAGTGTTATTCACAAAATATTGAACACATAGTTTTCCCTGCAATTATTGCTCATAAGAAATATTTATTTAAAATTGTTTCTGTAAGGCGACAAGGGACGTTCAAATTTTTATTTTTTATTTTTCACTCAATCAATCTGAAAATTGTTCAGCTAATGGATATAGGCAATACAAGATATCATATAAATTTTTGTTGAGCAATTGTCAAAATTTTAAATTTTATTAAAAATTTTAAATTTTAAAATAATAATTTTTAAAAATGCTCCAGGCGGCTTAATTTTTGAGATATTGTGTTCAAATTTTTTTTTGAAGTTGCTTAAAGACGTTGTAACAAAGTGTACTATGCACCAATTTCACTAATCAAATGCTTTTATTAAAGAAAAAAAAATAATGCAAAAATACCAAAAAAAATTGAAAATTTATGTAGTCATAAGCAACATTCTTGAATATACTTGCTCTAATTACGGCAGAATTATTTATTTTGATAGTACAAAATAATCATACATACATATTTAGCATGCACAAAATTTTTTTAACGATTTGAATAAAAATTAAGCCGCCTGGAACTTTTCGAAATTTCTAAAATGCTTAAAAATTGGAATAAGAGAAAACAACATTTTTAGGTTTTTTTTATAAAAAAAATTATATATTTTTACTACTATTTACAAATAATTACACGTCTTGTAAAACTTTGATAAATATTTAACTGTGTTAAAAAAAACATTAAAAAAAATAGAATTATTATATTCCTGCAGCTTATTTTATTTTGTTCGTATAATATTAATTTTCCGAAAAATTTAAGCGATGGGTACTTTTTTGGTGAGTAAATATGCTTTTAGCAGAAATACTACTCTGATACAAGTATATGTGAGAATGAAATATCTGTTATTTATATCTTTTATAAATTTAGAAGCTTTTGCATTCATATCTCAAACAATTCAGGAATAATATTTCAAAATAATACTAGTAGAAGTGTAGGAAAATAGACGTAGCAAATCGCAATGTAAACAAAAACAAATCAGTGACGCTACAAACAGTGCAGTTAACAGTTAGTAAACTTATGGTGAGCAAAAATTCATTAAAAAAAATTAAAATACTATTAATTTTTGAAAAATTACAATTAGTTTCGGTTTGCGTGCTTCTGCTACAGCTGTAAAAAGGGGCGTGGTAGGTTGTTTACAAAATTTTAAATGGTGATAACTTCCGAAAAAATTGTCCAAAACGAAATTTTTTTCTTTTATATGAAAGCAAACGATATCGACTATTTAATGAGAGTAAAAATAAAAAATTGATTTTTTCGTCATTTTTATCGAATTTGAAGGTCCCTTGTCGCCAAGCATTGTGTAAAACTGTACTAAGTCATCATAGGCAATTAATACAAAATTGTAAAACATTATTCGAAATTAACGATTTTCACTATTATTAAATAAACACTTCGACCATCCAAAAATTAATATACTCAAAATCAATATTAATATATTTATAGTAAGCAAAAATTCAATTGTAACTTAAAAAATAATATTATATATGAAGTAGCTATGGCAATAGAGCAAAAATCATTCAGTTTTCTCTCAATAAAACCGGAAACTTGCAATACATTAAAGCATCTTGTGATCTTCCACTTGTACATTTTTTTTTAGTTTCAATGTAACAAACTGTTTATCGTCAAGAAACATAAAATTATTGTAACAATCGTGGGGACTAGTGAGCGAAACGAGCGTCGGCAGAGTTTCTTAGTAAGCTATAAAAATTCATTGAACACTGTTGAACAATGGGTTCATTCAAATACAATCAACAGAGATCCATCGTTCCCGCATATTTCGTTTTGCCGTGTGTATCGTTATTAAGTTTTCCCATGTGTATCGTATTGTTTTACACGTCCCGTCTCAAATGCTATTCTTAAAATGATAGCAACTCCCGTAAAGCCGTGGTGGCTCAGGGGATAGAGCGCTCGCTTCCCAATGAGGTGGATCGGGTTCGAATCCCAGAGATCGATACGAAATCCGCAACTGGCTCGCACTGGCCATAGTGCTGACGTAAAATATCCTCAGTGGTAGATGGATCATGGGTTCGAATCCCCTTGCCGCCAGGCTAACCGTGGGATGTTTTCGTGGTTTTCTTCTCCAAGTAACGTAAATGCGATCTAGTGATAACAAAAAAGTCTTCCACGAAAGCAAATTTCTCTCATTATTTGATCTACGAGTTCCCTTGTCTTCTGGATTGGGCTAAAAATTAAGTCTACGGAGTAGAATATTAGTAGTAAACCCAAAAATTGGGTCGACTGTTCAACTACGGTTAAGAATTAAAATAACTCCCTTAAGATCGTTTTCGAAACTAGCAGATTCCCGCTTTATCGTTCAGAAATTTTACCAAAATTTGGAAAAAAAAAAAAAAAAAAAGAAGAAGAAAGAAGCTGATTTATTTTGTGAAGAAAAGCAATAACTCCTGTTGTTAATAATGAAGAAAGTGTGGATTTGTTTGAGTCTAGGAAAAACACTTCAAACAACAGGTTTGATGTCGATTCCTCGTTTGAAAAAAATTTTTGAAACTTGCGGTGTTGTCGGTTCAAGAAATGGTTGTAGAATCTGAAAAAGGGCATAATGATACCGATGAAGATTGAACTTAACTCAATCAATTTTATAACCATCGTTGAACAGCCTACCCAATTTAGGGTTTACGACTTCCAATGTTCAACTCCGTAGCCTTGTAATTTTGAGCCTAATCCAGAAGACAAGGGAACTCCTGGATCAAGTATTGGGAGAAATTTGCTTTCGTGGTGGACTTTTTGATGGAACTAATCCGGATTTGCTTTACATGGAGAGGAAAACCACGAAAACCACCCTTGGTTAGCCTGATGGTAAGGGGACTCTAACCCACGGTCCATCTACCACAAAGCATACTTTTCGTCAGCACTGTGGTAGGTGCAAGCCGAATGCGGAATTCGTATTGACCAACAATCCCTGAGATTCGAACCTGGTTCACCTCATTGGAAGGCGAACTCTCTATCCCCTGAGCCATTATGACTCCAACACACTCAATTAGAGCAAACGTTTGGGGAAAACTTTGAAGCCTTTAAAACAATGAGGAACTTTTTGAATTCCCACCATTGTTGAAAATTTATTGTTTGCACTGTGAAAGAAAGAGAATCAAAATTTCCAAAAATTTTACAGAAATAAATATATTTATTTATCCTTCTTTTGTATCGTAAATAATTTTGCAGGAAGAGTTTAATTTTTTCAATTCAAATTTTTTATATTTATTATAAATTTATTTTTAGTAATTATTTTAAATATGAAGTTGACAGCAAAAAATGTTCCCTTGAGAAACAATCAAGTGGGGTTCTATTGTACAACCTAAGCATATTTTTTGCTGGTTTTGCTTTGCCTTTATCAGCGTTATTGCCCTTATCATCATGTTACAAAAAAAATTAATAAATTGGGGGACAAACTCTTCCACGAACACCCAAATCAATCAATCTTTTAAATGATGAAATCAGTCTCAAATTAAAATAAATTCCTTTAGTTATTTTAAGAAATTTAATATTTTTTAAAAAATCGTAAGTAAAAATAAATTTGTATTACTCGGGAAATACTTACAGTTAAAACATTTTGTATTTTAATAAAAGTTGTATTTCTGACATCAATTTTAAATTATTCTATTTCTCCACCTCCCCTCATTTTTTTTCTTCCACTCAGAACAATATAGATGTTATATTGTTTCAACAATCACCAGCACCAACTATCCTTATATTTTACCATGAAAAGAAATTATTGGCGACAAAAAGGCGATAAAGCAGTTGTCATGAAGCGTCTTTGACCCAAATGGCGAATTTGGCTGAAAAAAACTCTAGCCAAGCTCCGGTGTAAACATTGCAACCTTTTTTAAGCTTCTCTTGGCAAGCTAGTGAGTGTAACGTTATTTATCGGCAAGATAATCATCTTAAATTATCAATTTTTAAGCTTCTGAATACATATTTCGAAATAAAATATATCTTAATCATTGCCTGTATGATTTTTATTCATTCTATTGTTTTCTAGACTCGTTATTCGCTTAAAATACTGCTGGAGAAATTATGTAAACAGTTAGGCTTAAGTCATGCCGTGTTTGTTTACATTTTTACTTCGATGTATTTCTCAAAACTTGTTGCTTGCTGTTATTATTCTATGTTAAATTTTGCTTTGAATTATATATTTTATTTATGCTATTCATCTCTTTGACTAGAAAGTTCTGTTGAACTGTGTTTATTTATTTTGTTTTTATGTTTATTTCAGTGCATGCTATCTCCGTGCATTGGTTATTCATTTAATTTGTTTTACTCTATTTAAACCGTACTCTTAAGTTTTGCGACATAACTATGTGATAATTTTTTTATCTCTATTTATTTATTTTGTGGAAAACTCCTTTAACTAACTCATTACATTCAATCGGTTTTCATTCTTCATAACAAATTTTTTATGAAGTGAAACAATCAAAAGTAATAAAATGTTCACTAAAATTGTTTATAAAAATTGATTTAGAATAAATTGTGCACTCTTACAGTTCATATATGCTCTGATAAAGTATAAAAATAACGAAAAATATCTAAGTAACATATTTTTAATAGTTCTATTTACCAAAAATTGTGTTATTGAATAGTTTTTTATTATCGTGTGTATATTTGAGTTTCATAAGAATTTCTTAGCTCTATCCATTATCTATAACTATGGATATTATTTATTTTTTGAGTGAGTTATTGTGAAAACCTAATACATTGGATATTTACTTAATTTTTCGAATTAAGTATCTAAGTTTTCTGTTTTTAAAAAAAAACTATTTTGTATCATATATTTACCATATTGGCATTTACACTTAATATAATTTGAGTGGTGCTAGTAAATATAAAAAAAAAATTACAGTCAAACTCGTTTATAACAAAAATATAAAAACCAAAACAATACGCTCTGGATATCAGAGTCTCTGTTAAACCAGAATCAGCTCAAATTATCAAAATAAAAGTTATAAGGTACTGAGGTGAACTGTAGAATTTTTAAAACAGTTTACTTTTTATGTTTTTTTTATTATTTATAATTATTAGAATATCATTTATTTTAATGATTGAATCTTCGTAATTATTCTATCTTCAACTCATATGATACAAAATATATTAATTATCGACATACAGTTTTGAGATTAAAGATACGTAGTATAAAAAGTTTTGGACAAATTTCATATTATATCCCAGTTATGCTTTCTAACATTAATGAAATTATTTGTTAAAATTTTCTTCTTCAATTGAAAGATCTTTCAAAATCTGGGTAATCCATAATGTAATAAACAGTTAATGTCTATATTTTTTCTGAACAAACAATCAGACTATTGTTGCAGTTTCACAATGTTGACTTTTGACAGTATGTAAACCTTGTGTTGCAAAATTGTGTTATTTAACTATACAGATCCATTCTTGTTAATCGAAAGAAGTCATACTTTGTTTTCTATCCGAGTGTGATTGTTATCCAAATATAAATCAACGTGCTTCTTCTCACACTATTTAAGTTTGTGCTGCCTCTTTTCAAAATTTTTTAAAAAATTTATTCTTTTAAAATTTGTAGAATTGTTTTAATTAGAGCTCAGATTCTGAGGACCTAAGAATGCTTAACCCCTTAACTTGTGCGTTTGAGTTAATTCTAGCTCGCTAAACAGGAAGACACTCAAGATTACTCGAGCGGCGTTGTATTTTATCCTGCTATAATTTTTCACACTTGAATATAACTGAGAATTGAAAATAACAAGGTGAAAGCTAAGAAGAAAAAAATCATTTTATTGATATTTATCATTTACATAGGATTGTAAGCTATAACACCTATTTATTCAAGAATAAAATATAGCCTTTTTACATGGAACAAAAGCACAGTATTTCAAAATTGTCCACTAAAAGAAAAGACAATGTTCTAAAATGTGTTTTTTTACATAATTTTTTTTTTTTGGTCGGTTTTTTTTTCAAAAAATCTGCATTAAAGGGTTAATTTAAAAAATTTTCTTAAAATATAACTATACAGGAATTTAAATCCAAACCAGTATTTCTTTCTTGAATTCAAATGCAGCATATATATTTGTATTATAGCTTGTATATTTGTATTATAGCTTGTATATATTTTCATTAAAATTTAGTATAAATGTAAAATTCTAAAATAATTTATTAAATTAGGAATTTATGTATGTCTACGTTAAATTTTTTGATTAGAGAAAGGTTATTATTCCTCCTCCTTTATTTTGTTGTCAGGTGTTCCCTGTTGATTGTTTATTATATTTAATAAAGTTTGAAAATCACCATCATGGCCATGAGTTAATTTACTATACAAGAAAGAGCAAATTTTGTACTTTTTTTCTAATTTTTAATGTAAACAAATAATGGATATCAGTCAGAAGTTAAGATTGTTTTATTGCTAATAATATTGTAAGCCATGTTTAATCGGTATTCTTTAGTCACATTAATAATTATTCTTCCTTTATTGTAACAAAATTTACTAATGCATAAAATAACGATTGCTAGTTGTCTTTAATGAATTAGCCTCGGTTATGAATAGACATGGTGCAGAATGCATCTGATTGTACGAGCAACGTTCGTCGGAAATTCAAACAGTACTGTGGAAATTTTTGCTGTCCAATTTTTGTGAAACATATTGCTACAAAATTATTTATTATAAAAAAAGGATTAATGGATAAATCACTTAACAAATATTTTTCATGTTAAAGAATGAAAAACTATTCCTGAAGGAAAAATCTTGTATAAAGGAACAACGAGGGCTGCCTTGATGGACAAAAGTGAAAGAATTTTTAATCTTATGTTAAAAGAAAAAGATTAATTTCTGTTATATTAAGTATAACACTAATATAAATATTTATCTCTTAAATTAATGAGTGGGATCTTAAATTTAATGATACAATTCTCCAATATATATTTTTGAATTATTACTATTTCAATATATTTTTATTTTTAATACATAGACTAGTTTATTGGAGAATTGTGTAAAGTCAAATGATTTTTTTTTCTTTAGTAAGGAAAAAAATTATCAAAAATTTTAGCAAGATACAAACTTTCTAAAAATATTTTAAACAAGCTAATAAAACTTTGAAAAAAAAAAGTCTATAATTTTGAAGGAAATTCCTAACCAATAAAACTATGCTCTGAGGAATTTAAACCCTGAACATTTTCTGTACCCTTTTGAATAGGCTAGTGACCTAACTATAATACCATTATCTTGGATAGCATTTTTCAAGCTGTTCAACATATGTTTGTTATATCTGGTTTAGCAAAAGCGTATCAGGTTTAATTAAATCTGAATTAAGTAATGTAATTTGTTCCTTCCCGATCGATGAGACAGACCAAAAATTTAAAAAATATTAGAAATCACTAAAAAAAAATTGTAAAATTAGGCTTTCACTCCATATCCACACAAGCTCATAATATTTTAAACATTTTAATGAAGTGTGATACTTTATTAACAAATAAAATAACTATGTACTTATTCATAGAAATTCTCTGGTTCAATGAAAGACATCAGTTTTCTATATTAGGCTGATGACACTTTTTATTTTTCTGATATTTCCGTAATTTTTTATGGTCATTACATTTATGCCTAGCTATTCGATTCTTTTATGTCGCTATATTAAAAACAGTAAAAAATATTTGAAAGATTTCGAATAAAATTGTTCATATAGGAATAAATTTTGAAGTGTGATAGATAACTTTTACCTGAAAGTAAAAAAGAAAAAAATTCAAAGTTTGATAAAATACTCTAAAAGAGTAAAAAAAATAATGTTAGTCTTTCAAATCCTGTCTTTAGTTATAAACATTGACAAAATTTTATTGATATCTAAAAAGTTCTTTTATAACAAAAATTGTATTTGAAAGCTGCGAAATATGCCTTTATAAATATACTTAAAATCCTCAATAATTAAACTTATTTACCATCTCTAATATTTTTAAAAGTATACTGTCAAATGAAAAAACATAAAATAAATTTTTTTATTAAATGAATTAAAAATTTAGTTTTANTAAAATATTAACTATACAGGAATTTAAATCCAAACGAGTATTTCTTTCTTGAATTCACATGTAGCATTATTTGTATTATAACTTGTATATTAAGAAAAGATGGTGTAATTTTCATTAAAATTTAGTATAAGTGTAAAATTCTAAAATAATTTATTAAATTAGGAATTTATATTTATCTACGCTAAATTTTTTAATTAGAGAAAGGTTGTTATTATTCCTCCTTCCTTATTTTGTAGTTTTTGACATTAGGTGTTCCCTGTTGATTGTTTATTATACTTAATAAAGTTTGAAAATCACCATCATGTCCATGAGTTAATTCACATGCTAATGTACTATACAAGAACAAACAAATTTTGTGCTTTTTTTCTAATTTTTAATCGTTTAATCGGTATTCTTTAGTCACATTAATAATTATTCTTCCTTTATTGTAACAAAATTTACTAATGCAGAACATAAGGATTGCTAGTTGTCCTTAATGAACCAGCCTCGGTTATGAATAGACATGGGTGCGAGCAACGTTCGTGGGAAATTCAAATAGTACTGTGGAAATTTTTGCTGTCCAATTTTTGTGGAAAATATTGCTACAAAATTGTTTAATGTAAAAGAAAGATAAATAAGTTACTTAACAAATATTTTTCATGTTAAAAAAGAATGAAAAATTATCCCTGAAGGAAAAATTTTGTATAAAGGAACTACGAGGGCTGCCTTGATGGAAAAAAATGAAAGAATTTTTACTGTTATGTTAAAAGAGAAATTTTTTCTGTTATGTCAAGTATAACACAAATATAAATATTTATCTCTTAAATCACCTTAAATTAATGAATGGGATCTTAAATTTAATGCTACAATTCTCCAATATATATTTTTTAATTATTACTATTTTAATATATTTTGATTTCTATTTTTAATACATAGACTAGTTTATTGGAGAAGTGTGTAAAATCAAATGATTTTTTTCATTTGGTAACGAAAAAAATTATCAAAACTTTTAACAAGATACAAATTTTCTAAAAATATTTTAAAGAAGCTAATGAAACTTTTTTTTTTAAAAAAAAGTCTATAATTTTGAAGGAAATTTCTAACCAATAAAACTATGCTCTGGAGAAATTAAACCCTGATCATTTTCTGTACCCTTTTGAATAGGCTAGTGACCTGACTATAATACCATTATCTTGGATAACATTTTTCAAGCTGTTCAAAATATGTTTGTAATATCTGGTTTAGCAAAAGTATCAGGTTTAATTAGTCTGAATTAAGTAATGTAATTTGTTCCTTCCCAATCGATGAGACAGACCAAAAATTTAAAATATATTAGAAATCACTAAAAAAAAATATTGTAAAAAAATGTTAGTCTTTCAATTCCCGACTTTATTGATATCTAAAAAGTTCTTTTATAACAAAAATTGTGTTTAAAAACTGCAAAATATGCCTTTATAAATATGCTTAAAATCCTCAATAATTAAACTTATTTACCATCTCTAATATTTTTAAAAGTATACTGTCAAATGAAAAAACATAAAATAAATTAAAAATTTAGTTTTAACATTAAGGTGTGGTCCACATTTTTTTAAAAATAATTACCAAATAGAATAGTATTTAATAAATTAACAAAAGTTCTTTTTGCATTCACTGAAGTTTATCTTTTTTATTCAGTGATTCTAGAACTTTTGAAATGGCAGTAAGACCATACTTGCGAAGTTCCTTGGCTAGATCTTTGTTTGAAAAGATGGTTAAAGATGAAAATCTTCGCTCCTTAGATAAATCCAAGGTAGGATGTTTAAAAAAAGGTTTATTTATTTGAAAGCTTACATATATTGTTTACATTATAACACAAGCAGTAATATTCATATATCTTATCGATTATATTTTTTACGAAGTAGACATATGACATATTTTTTACAGCAGTTGTATGGTATTTTAGTTATCAAAATTCTTTTCAAAAGTATCCATATTTATAATGAAATAAATTACATGAAATGCATATTTATAACCACACAATTTGCTTCAATTAGTAGCATTTTGCACAGTAAAAAAATTGTGTGAAAGAAAAAGATTAAGAGGGATATAAATAATGCATATTTTAACTCCAATCAACCAAGAAAGGACACAAACACTTAAAAAATCAAGAATAAAAGGTTTTAAACAGTATAAGTATGATTAATAAATTTATTGTTAATCTAATCAATGTGTAAAGGGGTAGCTTGACAGTTTTTTTTGCATGAAAATGCAATCTTCTGCTTTAAATTATAATATTTCTCTTAACTTTTAGACCATAAATTATAACCATTTAGAATAAGAATCTTTTTGGTTCGGTTCATTCTAATATAACAAGGTTTTAGAGGTTTTAAATTTTATGTGCAAAAACATTAAAAGAAAAGTAGTTTTTGATATCTTATCAATAGAAGTTTTTTTTTTTTTTTTTAAAGCTCAATGCTTAGTTAAATAACTAATTTTGAAATTAATTTCTCAGAGAAAATAATTTTTCTTTTTAAAATTGCTATTTGGTATGAACTGCTTGGTTTTAGATTGACATTAACATAATACTGAGTATCGAATAGTTAGGAAGACTTAATGTTTCTGTCATTATAATGGGAGGGAGGGGTCATCCTTGAAAGTGTAGTGTGCAATATAGTAAGACATTTATAACAAAACATTACAAATACTAATATAAAAATTTGAGTTCAATAAAATAAGACTTGTATGTGGATTCGTCTCCAATAGGGCCTCAATTGATGGGAATGGGTCTAAAATTTCTTGTCCCTAATAAGTTATCCTGGTCATGCAAGTTTGTTCGAAATTTCATTAATTATTTAATAAAAAAAGATAACACATTTACTTCTTACATATAGGTTTACAGTTACATGTTGCACAACACAATAAAGAAATACTAAAATATGATTTTTTATTTCTTAACTGTAATACTTTTTGATACAGCATCAACATAAATTACATCCAGAACTGAAATTTTTTCAAAAATAGAACAAGTCATGGTATCTTTTTTGTACTAATTTTAGAGTAAATTTACGCGTTACATTAGTATAAAGTTTTAAATGAGACATCTTTAGAGCAAGTTAAGGATCTTTTTTTTCAAGCTAATTTGATTTTCCTTTTATGTGTTAGATATAATTAATAGTTCTTATTGTTTGGTTTTGTCCTATTGTATATCTATCAGAGCTCCTAAAATCTTAAAATTTTTGCATGCTGCATCAGGCATGTTAGTCTACAAAATACATGCCTACATGAAATTTGTATGCATTCAGAAATTTTTTTGAATTTCATATTGAGGAAAAACTGCCCCTATTATTTATAAATCTGTAAAAAAAATGATATTAACATCATATCTACATTAACATTTTTATTTTAAGTATAAATCAAGTATTAACGAAGATATTTGATATTATTAACAAGAAAGTATTTAACATTGAACGAGTAAATGCAGTTCATAATTAATAACATAGAGAAGTAATATTAAAAGTAAGTATTATTGGCAAGTGCAGTAATACTACTTATGCACAGTATGTATTATTATAAAAAAATTTTTCGTAAAGTTCTTTTTTTCGCCTTTATTGCTATTTCTTTTCAAACCGACATCTTGTAGATTAATATCAAAATTTCAGGGACACTCAATTAATTTTACTGTATTTTTTATTTAATATTTACATGTAAACAAAAATACATGCCAGATAAGATATTTTACTTACTCAGGCATGTCAGACTATATAATTTTTGAGCCCTGATACTCTTTTAATTGAAATACTTAAGATTTTATTGGGCTAAAAAAAAATTTTTTTTTTGCGAAAACTACATTTTGTGTTAAAATAGTTTTTTTTTAATTTTCATTTAACTTTAACAAATATTAAAAAATTAATGTGCACTATATATATACACACACACATAAAATTTGTATTAATCTTTATGCAACGTGAATAAAAAATTTATTTATGAAAAAGAAAGAAAAAAATAAGAGGAAAAAAAATCTAAAATTATAGAAGTCATCATAATCTAAGTCTTAATAATAATTAAGGCATATTAAGCATTGTATTGATACTTGCAGCTCTTATGCCATAAAACTATACTTCCTTTCTCTCTACCACTGAGGAGGGGGGGCTTTCACTGGATTTACTTTGAAGTGTTTGCATTTTTTTCCCATCACAGTCACTGTACTGTTAAATGCAATATAAAAAATTTTCAAGATATTACAAAATTATTCATATCAACCCTTTAAATGCCTGTGTTGATCATTTTGTGCTTTATTTTTTTTGTCAAGTCTGATTTCTTTATTGGAAAACTTTTGAAAGCAGTTTGTTTTGCCAATAACGCCTAAATTCAACTTGTTGACCATTAAAGGGTAAATGATGAACTCGGTTTTGTCAAGCTTTTGGTAAAAGAAAATATCTGCTAAACATCAATGGATTATTTTTTCCTCTCTGTGGTGTGCAGTCAAACCTATCTACATACTCTACAGAATACTTCTTTATTAGTAATTTAATTTTGTTTATTCATGAAAAAGAAAACATTACTTTGTTAGTTTAAAAATTGAGACTGATTTATTGATTATTATTTTTTGTTCTAGCAGTATAAAAAATTATTTTGTTCTTTTTTAAACAAATCCATTTGATTCACATTTTTTCAATGATTTGTTTTTATGTGTCATACATGCCTGTTGCATGAAAATGATTTAATATTTTATAGCAAAATATTGGTCTTTCTTTGATTCTTGTTGGTGAATAAATGATAAATTTTGTTTTGTAGAAATTTTCTAAAGTTAAAAAATTCTATCTCAAAGAAGAAAAAAAAATTCAGTTCCATTTAAAGAATTTTGAATATTATGAATAATATACATATTTTTTATACATGTTTCGAAACAAAGTATTGTGATAAAGAAAAAGATTTGAAGGAATGATGATTTAGTTTACTCTTTAAGGATATAAAAGAGCTCAACTTGAGTTATCATTGGTATAATGGATACGCAAGAAAAAGTCTGGAAATTTTATCAATCTGCAAATATCAGAGAATTAGGTTTAATTGCTCCAAAAGCCCAGAGCAAATGACTTAATTTGAATTGGAGTTTTCTAAATGTCCAATGTTTTTCAAAAAAAGAATTATTTACAGCAAATATAAGTATTTTATTATTGATTTTATGTATAACACAATGAAAAATTAATGATAAAATTTATACAACCAGTTACAAAAATCTGGAAAATTAAATAAAATCAATCAGGAAAAGCCATTTTTTTAAACGATTGTGGACACCCTGCTATTAGTTTGGTGATTACTGTTTGTTAATGATTTTTTGTGATTTCTTTACAAATTAAAAATGGATACTGGATAAATAAATACATTTAATTAATGTATGTAAGAATAAAATATTAAACAAAATACCTACAAAATAGACAATTAGAAATCAACCAGACAGTTTTTCAGTAATTTGTTTTTGATTTTATATTGAAAATATAATCCATTTTAATTTATTAAATGAGAAATTAGTATTGATATCTTTGAGTAACTTGAAATGCCTTTTCAAATAATTATAGTGCGAAAGTTTACCCATATACTTTTGCTTTTTGTATAGTAATAACTTTGCAACAAGAAATAACTTATACATTAATTCACTGTTGACATTTTGAATTAAAGTGAATGTTAAGTAAAACTGTATTTAAAAATTATTTGAAGATAAAACCTATTGAATTATAGTGAATGTTAAGTAAAACTGTATTTGAAAATTTTTTCGAGATAAAACCTATCATTCAATACGTATCCTGCACCTTATAATGTAACATGAATCAATATTAATAAGATATCAGTACTATGTACAGTTGTTAGCAGTGTAAATTTTAATGTATAATGTTAATAGCTGCTTCAAACTTATATTTGCTGAAAATAAAGAAAATATGAACTATATTTTTAATGAAAATGTTTTTAAAAAATAAATCTAATGAGCAATAACTGCACGGAACTCTACATGTTGTCCAATATTTTGTGAATACCAAATTTTTTGTAAATTACCAATTTTAACGTGTCTTTTAAAGTTATAAATGTTTTACACTTAACAAATTAAAAACAGATAAAAAATTGTGATTTGACTTATGTTTTTTCTACTCAGTAAACCGTTTTGTTTTTCATGTTATATTACGAAGATAAACATAGAAGTATATAATAAAAAAAATTCTAAAAATAAAGTAAAAGAAATAAAAAGTGTAAATTTGTTCATTAGAGAAATGTTAGCCAAATTTCCTACATTGTGTGAAAAAATGAAAAAAGAAATTAAATTTATGTTAATGCCTCAAAATTATTTTACCAACTGTAAAAAGCATATGTTTTATTTTTAAAATATTATTTGTATAATGGTAAATGACAGAATTTGTTAAATAAAATGAAAGTTAAATGATAACATGCTCTTTAAAATTATACATGCTAGCATTTGATCAGTTTTGATTTGCAAAAATTTACTTTAAAAGTTGAGTGTTTTTTAATGTAATTTTAAATGCTTATTTGCTTTAACTGTATTTTAAGCTTTGTTCAAAAGTTAGATAGTGTTCTAAATTAAAGGATTGATAAAGACATGAAAAAAAGTAAATGTATGCAAAGTATTTTTGAAAAATAAAATTAAAAGAGGAAAGTAACTTTTGATGTAGCAATTTTAATGTTATTGAGAATTTAAATATTTTTACCGATTGAATAAATTTATTGAATTATTTCGACTATTGAATAAATTTATTCGATGAAGAACTTAGAATATTTTTATTGAAAATATCTGTTATACAACAA